GTTGGAATTTGATGTGAGCAATTTGAATTTGATGTGAGCAATTTGCTTTTGATGTGAGCAATTTGAATTTGATGTGAGGAATTTGCTTTTGATGTGAGCGATTTGAATTTGATGTGAGCAATTTGTTTTTGATGTGAGCAATTTGTTTTTGATGTGAGCAATTTGTTTTTGATGTGAGCAATTTGTTTTTGATGTGAACAATTTGTTTTTGATGTGAGCAATTTGTTTTTGATGTCAGCAATTTATTTTTGATGTGACAGTTGTGGGCCACCGTACTGTTGAAATTCCCTTTCGCCATTCAACGCGGCAGCAATATATTTTTATATCTCAATTTTATCCTATCAGCCCGGATAGATGATATTCAATTCTGTTTCTCCTAAGCTTGATACTATCGCCCGGCCGGGATTTCGAGCATGTTAACAAAGAAATCAATCCAGTCACTCCACTCTCCAGTCATTCTTCGCAGATAAGTGTCCCATGCTCCAAGATTGATAAATTCGAGGCTGAAAATTGGTCCTTTACGGGATGGCTGGAATACTTCGGAGATAATTTACAAGGTCAGAGCGCAATTTTGTGGCAGCTGGTGATATCCAATGCAAGTCCTGCATTTTCCACTTTTATTATCAAGAGAAAATGAGGTCCCCTCATTTTCTCTTGTTATTATCCATGCCAACTTTGGTTAGGGCTTTCGGCAACTTTTTGGCAACTTCTTGTATTTCGAGCAACTTTTTTCGTTTCGAGCAACTTTTTGCATTCTGAACAATCTCTAGTTTTCTATCATTTCTGAGAAATCAGAGCAGCTTTTAGCGCTTAGACTAGCCTTGCTTCCATATTTCACAATGTTTTAGTAGACAATTTATTAATTTCCTGTGAAAAGGAAGCGAAATTCGCCCGCCCCCTGGAGCAGATCATCAGTGCAAAGGCCGGGCCGTTAGGTCACCGGTTTTTTTTTTTTTTTTTTTTTTTTAAATTCAAAATGGCGACGAAGATTCACACTAGACTGACTCGAGTGCTTCAGGTGAAGAAATTTTTACAAGATTAATATAAATATTGGTGCGCAGTCTTTACTCATACATTTGTTTTGGATTTAACTGAGGACAAATTAAAGTTATTTAGCAACGCTGGTTACGCCACAAAATTGCACAAAAATGCTGGGAAATCTTACTTTTGTTGTACTTTTGCATCAGACCAAATGAAAGAGAGCAACAAAATTTTCTTTTTGTTTTTTTGAGCAACTTTTGTTATAAAAAGTAACTTCTGACTTTTTTTGAGCAACTTTTGAGCAACTTTTAGAGAAATTGCGGGCAACTTTATGGGAAATCTTGAGCAACTTGTGGAAAGCCCTAACTTTGGTGATTCGCTGTTGTCGGAAGTTTTTTTGGTTGTTAAATTTATGTGTGTCTACATCAACGTGCAACACCCTGCGAAGAACAAAAAAAACAACTCTGGAGTATTTCTTGCAAAATGATAAAACATGTTTTTGAGTGTGTTCAGTTTTATGTGTTTCCACCTTCCTCTGATATGAATCCATGCCATTCCATAATTTTTGGTCGGGATCACTTGCGGTCCAATATGGGGATCATTTCCGGTCCGAGACCATTTTCCGGGATCTTTTGCGGCCCGTACATCTAATCCATATCACTCAACCTCTTCGAACAAAACAAAAGAGACTATTTTTAGTTCCCTGTTAAGCTCGCATATCACGTGTTATTGTGTAACTCACGCGGCGTCGTGAAAATGTAAACACTGTAAACGCGGCATTATTCGACAGCACCTCGGTGCGTGCGTGCATTTGTTTCGTGTAGAAACCGGCCTTTGCTGTGTGCAACTGGGTTTTGTGAACTTCTCTAGTGATGGTAAGTGTCTTTAGTTAGCTTGCTAATGATCGCTAATAGGGTCTCTTGGAAATTTCTAAGTCTCGCGGCGGGGGTGGTGCCAGAATGGAACACCCTTCAAAAAGTAATGCGTCTCGCAGAATTTTAGCAAAATTCACAACTTTCGCCATCTCAAATTTATTTTATTTCGCGACGGCTTGTGAGAGTCTCAATTTAATTTTCGTTTTAAAACGTTCCTGTGACAGGAGGTAATGGGCTCCTGCCTGTGATTATTATAGCCGTCGTCAAGGGTTTTTTTAAAAAAACCCAATGCTCAGTTTTGGACGCAGTTCCTTTTCTGATCCTCGAATGTAAATCCCTAGCTAGGACACTTTTACTGTGGGATAAACTTTCTCCTCTCGTCAATATTGTATGCAATCTTCTATTGGACTCGGAGACCCAGGAAAAAGAGGATCTTAGTAAACAGTTCAGTGTGACGTCAAAGGTCAGTTTCACAAAGGCTAGTATTCTATCTACAACGTTAGGTTTATGTTACGTGGCATAAAACCGTTCTCGCAGATACGTAATTTTAAGAAAGCGCTCAAACCTTTATATCAATGTAAAGCTTATATAACCAAGGATAATTTTGACATGTTTTGAAGTAATGAGCTGCGATTGGTGAAGTCTAAATGTAGCTGCAAGCGGAATGATGTTTATTCATAACGGAGGCAAACCCGATCCGGATTTTTGCCCGCACAAAGTAATTACTGTCTACCGGACATTCAGCAGATGTGCAAGAGAATCTGCTCAGAGATCAGCTTTCTTAAAAAGTTATCATAATTCAAAGTTCGGCGATGTACTTAGACTTTAACTCCGACACACTTTTGGAGCGGAGGCTGTTATGCAAAATTTCATAATTCTTTCATAAATTCTTTTACGCAATTTATCCGCACGAAACTGAAGAAGTGTTTTTCCGGATTATCACCTAAAGACAACAGTCAGACTCTATTTCCAGACTGTGCCAAAACTCGTAGGATACAGGCTTACGACGGATGCCAGAGATTATACACGTGCGGTTTCCGGTTTCTGTGTGTACTCGGCCCAAAAACATCCGGTTGTGCGAGTGACAGGCGGCTCGAGCTCGACGAGGTCAATCGTCATGTAAATGGGAATATTTACGATCGGTTTTAAAATGTAGAAATACTAGAAAACTCTTGGCAAAAATGCTTTATTGTAATTCCAATTCCACAGTGTATTGCTTGTTGTCCATTCGCTTTTCTTGCTGGTTTTAAACGATTTTAGCGAGTTACGTTCCGGAAACCCTTGATACATAGCGATAACTCGCTGAAATCGCCTTGAGCAGGCAAGCGAATAAAAAACAAGCAATATACTGCGGAAGTAAGATAAAGCATTTTTATTAAGAGCTTTCCAGCAGTTCTATACCATAACCACTTTTACGCAAGATGATCATCGCTCACACTTGAGCTTGAGCAGCCTCTGCGTGAGCGAAAAAATTATCGACCTCTCACAGGCCGTTTTCAATCTCTTTACACGTCGCTTTTCTTTTCATTATCGCAAATAGAAGGTCACGGGAATATTCCATATGTCATAAAAGGAGTATTTGCGGAAGAAAGACTTATTACAGAAGGAAGTAAAGCCCGCAGGGCAAGCGAAACCGAAACCGCCCCCCTCCCCCTCTCCCCTTAGCTCAAGGTTTGGATCCGCCACTGGTCACATACTGAACCTACTGTGGTTCAATGTTTTTCTGTACCAAGATAGATAGCTCTAGGGCAGCTCTCAGGCAAAGTTAGAAGAAAATCGATTTTTCGAACCTTAAAGCAGTGTAACTCAATACCGAGACGATACTGAATTACTTGGGCTTGATGCCATTACAATACCTTGCTCCGCCCCTCGCCGAAACTTTTGCTTTGTGAATATTTGAGCAAAACAAGAAAAACAAGTTATTCCTACATGACATTAAAATATGTCTCTCAAACTCGATTGTCATATCTGAAGCATTATAGTGGTGGCGTTATTTCGGTCGCATTGTTGTTTCATTGAGCCCGTCTGCGAGGAAGTCGGCTTTCCGAATCAAGGTAAGTTTGTCACGAGCTTGCTTTATTTCCAATTCTCGAAACATGAGTCTCAGTGTTGACAAATTATTTAATGTTATATACAAAACGACACGAAAGCCGAAAACGTCGGCTGAGCCCTTGGGGTTCAGTTACTGGTTATTTTTATTCTTCAATGTTCCACGCATCTGAAAACGATGAAACGAATATATAGTTGTATGGAGGGGTCTTAACTAATTTGTAAGGAATTCTACAACGAGCACTGTACGGGTTAAGGTTAACGGTTTAAAATTTCGTTAGTCACCCTTTAAATGCGTTTCGAGGCTATCTGTTCGAGGTTTCGTGGTAACATAATACACATGGGCGGCTGGCTTGGGTCGCATTTGCCATCAGGGTGGCAATAATAACAAAACCGAAAGAAAGAGTGCGATGGAAATGGAGGAAAAATATATTTCGTAACCTATTTTTGGTTTTATTTCTGTCTTCATCTCCTCTTCCTGGCGTAAGGATCACCTTTTCGATTTTGATTCTCAAGGGATTCGATTTTGATTCGGTAGGACCCTTTTGATTTTGAACTGGGTGAGCTAAGAACGGTTTCTCTCAACGTTATGTTTCCATGTTTTCTCTGCGTGGCTCGCTAAGCGCGATTTAAATTTTCCTTATATAGGAATTTTTGTTTGCCAATTTCAGGCCCGCTTCCCACCCGTCAAAAATATACCATCAAAACCACTTAAATGATGGGGCTGCGTCGATTCTAAATCTTTTGTCACATTTATACTATTTAATACTAGTGTGTAAAACACAGCTTCTAAGCTTTCCTGAGCTTTCAAAATTGAGGAAACGCTGCCTTTCCTTCAGGCTGAAAACATCTAAGTTTCTTGACTCTGTTGGATGCACAGCGCACGGCGTTCTGTGAGAACGATGTTTAGCTATGTGTAACCGGTGGCTGTGGATAGCTGTGAGTTAAAGCTACCCCCAGGAGCGATAGCTACCGTTCACTGAAGCAGCGAACACACTACGCCGGAGAAATCTGAAAACGCATGCAGCTTTATTTTTAGGGTTAGGCGTACCGTCTACACTAATCCGTCGTGGAAACAGAGCTTTCCGAAAACGCCTTAAAAAACTGGAGGAATTTGAAAACGCCGGCTTTTCCTTTTCGTGCGGATGTGCACCGTTAGAACTGCCTGATGCATGGCATAAATAAAATATTTCAGCCAGATAAACGTGCAATATTATCAGGAGAATAAATCGTCAATGAGAAGACGTCTATATCATCAAAAACGCTAGAGCAGTAGAGATTCTGTCTCTTTAGCGATGCTGTGTCAGACCCCGTTCACACTACGCCAAAGGAATTTGAAAGTGGTGGTTTTTCACTCTGAAAATGCATTAAATGTTTTGCGTCCACACTACGCAAGAGAAATTTGAAAATGCAAAAGTCACCGGTCCTTTTTTTTAAATCTGTGTTTGAGGAAAACCATTATCGTGACGCCAACGTTTTCAAAGGCTCCATTGTATGAGCCTTACAATAGTCTTTGACTTCTCATCGTTTTACTTCTCAAGTTTGGCTGATTCGATCTGCTGTGAGATCCAACAGTTTGCAGTTGGATCCAACAGTTTGCACTTTTGCAGTTTACTGATTTAGTTTGTTACACTTCTTTGGTAGTCTAGATTCATCAGGGGAGAATTTTCATTTTTATATTATAAAAGGTAGAAATATCAGAAAACTCTTAGCAAAAATGCCTCATGTTACTTTATTGCTTGTTGTCTTTTCGCTTTTTCTGCTAATTTGAAATGATTTTAGCCAGTTACACTCTGGAAACCTAGATATATAGCGGCGAATAACTCGCTGAAATCGCCTTGAATCAGCAGACAGTGCAACAAGCAATATCCTGTGCAAGTAAGCTGGCGCATTTTCACTAAGAGCTTTCCAGTATTTCTACCTCCTAAAACCGAAGAACTTATATGTTT